TGTCATGGACTTTGTGATCAGTAAAAATGGCACAAGGGAGAATAGGCAATAATGCAAAAGTTTACTTGTGGCTTACTTTTTTCAATTGTTTATAATTATAGATTCAATCATTGGCAATTCATTACATGTTCCTCTCAGAGTTAGTTGATGGGTTATACTTCTAAAATTCACACAGCTTGGCAAGGTACCTAAGCATTCAAAATGAGTACTAAAAGTGTTGAAAGCTTGTTCACAATATTGTAATAGAAGAGGCAATTACTTAAGGCTGGTTTGGTGACGCATACGTTCCATGAAATGTCCCACACGATCTTTGTTCGACAAGTGTTTTGTACTATTTACAGTGGTAATTAAAGCGTAACAAACAACGAAGTCATCTGCTTCAACCTGAATTTAAAAATACGCTAACAACGCTCAATGGAAGAACATAGATGTGAACAAAGTACAAATAAAACCCTCCAAACCCATCGATCCATTCCCAGAACGTATAAATCCCTCTCTTGATTGGTGAAACCATCGTGTCTAGTGTTAAGGTCATCACTCCATCTTGTCTTTTGGCGGCCTGGGTTCCTGGCCCATCCCCTTAACAAACCCCAAAATACAATAAAAAGGTACATTTCGAAACAATACCCTTTAAAATCTTCAAAAACGTATAAAGAAGTATCTAAAAACGTAATCACAACGCCACAGATGCGTTTTAAAAGTACACTTGTATGTGTTTGGACACAATACACAAAGTAAATAAAAGACGACATGGGGTGCCTAAAACCAACCGGGACTCACGAGAACACCCTTGTGTGGTCAATGGGCAAAATACAGTTTCAAGTATTTTATTACATTTACTGCAATTGTACAAATCACATCTTCATACTCTGAAAGAAAACACCGGCTTAAGGCGTGAGGTCAAAATACAAACGCTTTTGAAAGCGTCCAACGCTTTGTAAACGGTAAGCCTCACGGACGGTCAACATCGAACAGACGAACGCTTCAGCGAGGCTGGCCAAACCGTTGCGGTCGAGTACACCTTGCACTCCGCAGCTTCCAGTAAACAATGGACAGCTCATCGCATTGCGGCATCATAGACTTCTGCGGTCTGGTGGATTAGTCATAACAATAGCTCTTTACTTTGCAGCTCCACAGCAGGATTTAAATCGGCAGACTGTTTTAACCATCCTGATAAAACACGTGTATTGAGTAGTTGTATTGCGCTGTCAGACCCAGTCTTTTCAGGTCTCAATACCCTGTAATCTTGATATTTTGTCTCGGTATCGTGAGTTAAATACACACCTAACTGTATACCTGCAGAATCGAATATACTAACTCGAAATAGTATTTACCTGAATCATACACGACGTAGTGTTCTGTTCGCCAACATGTAGTTACAGATAAAATAATATAATATGTATAATAAAATGGTATAATATGTGATACACGATACATACAAACATTATTCGCCGAGGCGTTTGATCGATTGAGAAAGATTTTTACAAGAAACAAGGTCACTTCAGAACATGAACCCAATAAGTACAATCACAAATTCCATTTAAATGCCACTTTAAACATTCAGAGCAAAACGGAAAGTCTGTTAGTTTCTTATTTCTTGTGTTTGGAGAAACATTTGAACCCCGTCGTGCATAAACAGTGTGAAACATTTTACTCCATTGTTCAGGCAATTGCACTCTAGGTCTCATTTGAATGAAATCATAACGCCGTCAAATGACCGACAGGTAAAATCTCTACTGCAAAACCAACCGATTCATGTAGCAATATGTCTACACCAGCAATCATATGTAGTTATACAATCTTAACGCATCTTTGTTTCGGCTTTGGATTTAGTGTAGGAATGAAGTCACTTCACAATTCAGAAGCATTGTTATTTACACTTAATTATCTGTAAGTATGCTTAGGCTGTAACGAATCAAGATCTTACGACACCGAGAGAGTTAATAACCATACGGCAGCGTGTCAAAGTTTTGGACTTGTACCCGTTTAGTGTAAACCACCTGATAAAATTTCTTCTCTTCTTTTGTTTCGATGTTCATCGTTTTCTTATTTCTCGNATATCTTATACGGGTCAACGACTTGTACTTTAGACGGACCGATACTATGGACCATTTGAAACATTTTGTCGAAGTTCACGATTGACTGGTTACGGTAATTCAGCGTTATACCGCGGACTTTACAGAATGTTGTGTTTCCGCTTTTATCCGGCTTAGCCAATTTATAAGCGTAGTTTTTCGGACTGCCCGACACGAATGACGAAATATGGTTGTCACAATCAATTTCGTTTGTGTGCTCACCCAAATAATCCCCAATGTCGGGTTCCCACTCTCCCTCTCTGCTGACGTATATCACACTGTCGGTGTCACAGTATAATACCCTACGATCAAGGGATTCTAAGAGTTCGTAAAGTTTGAGTCTAGCCTGTGCTGTTGTGTAGGCCGCGATGACCACGTTGGTACGGCCAGAGGGCTCGACGAAGTCTTCGGTATTCTGCCACTGGACTTCAACCATCTCCTCCGACACAAAGTGTGCGCTGTTCACCTCGACATCGTCTCTCGTCATCATCTCAAAATATTCCGAAGGATCAGTAATGTGTGTTGTTTTTGCCATGTTGGGGCGTTGACCAAATTTTCCCCAGAATGAGTTGAGCATGAGTTTAGCCAGTGCCCTGAGGCCGGGGTTTTTCTGAATGTTATCCCACTCGAGCTGGATGCCTTCTCTGTCAAAGTAACTCTTGATGTACTTGTGCTTTAGTTCATCAGTTTGACACCATGCTGGCCAATCACTGGCTTCCTGCTTCATCTTTAAAAATGCATTGACGTACGAAGCGAACAGCCCTCCTTCCTTTGTGTCCGGGTCGTACATAGAAATTTCGTCAAAGTGCCAGACCTCGTAGATCTTCAAAATCCTGTAGCCTTTGTCCAATGCTTTTTGTAGCTCCATAGTCACCCACGTACCTGTGAGAGCGCGCTCTTCGTCAGTGTGGAGACAAGGTAACTGCTGCAATGATTCGCTGCATGCGGCACATAACGGAAACATCAGGCGTCCACAGGTCTTGTAGGGGAGGACCGGATGGTACAACCCTCTAGGAGGAAGCACTTTACACTTAACCAGACCCTCGTACTCCCTAATATCACGGAAGTTTTCGGTGATAATGGTGGGATGACCAATGGGATATTTACCGTATTTATTGATGTAGGGGTAGAGACTGGTAAAATCCACGTATTTGATTTTCTCCCCCGGCTCTGCTTCGTAAAAGAGTCTGGTTGCGTTAGTGCGTCCTCCACAGAAGGCATCGCGTGGGATAAGAGGAGCAGCAATTTCCAAGGCCGAGATAAAATCTCTCATAGTCGTATTTGACGTAAGTTTGGCATCGAAATCACACTCCCACTGCTCGATATACCGGTAGCCTTGATCAACGATAAACTTGCGTCTCTCTAGCGTCTTCTGATGAAGTTCCTCCATCGTTAGGCCGTTTAGGGGATGTTTGGTTTCGCGAGCCAAACACGTATGCCCATGATGGAGGCAGCCGTTAAACTCCAGGACCGTCTTTATGCCATCATCGATGTAGAAACCGTCAACTCTGTATTTTCCCAACATGCACCTCTCCATTATTACCCGCATGCTGAATGTTATGACCGGTTTCGTGGGCTGTCCATTTCAGCCACTGAAGGGCCTTGACTGACTGACGGTCATTTGAGCGGTACCCCGAAGGGTGGATGATGCCGATGGTATCTGGGTTCAAGTACTTGGTGCGGTACACGAGGTTGCAGGCTGACGCAATGGTAATACACTGTTGGAAGGGGTCGATGCCGGGAGAGGTCTCATCCGCTGTCATTTCCATGAATAGCGCCCTGAAGCGTAGACAGCAACGACGGAGAATGTCGACATCGGACTGACAGTATTTTAAGATTTCCCTCTTGAAATCAAAGGAGTCTCTCTGATGATCGCTGTACCAAGATACGAATTTCGCTCTGTCGGCAGGTTTCATAGCGTCGGGATTATAGTATCGCATGTCAGGAAGGTGGGACAGAACTTTCTCTTGATTGGCTCTTGTGTTGAAGAAGTGTGGAAAGTAGCCTTTTGCCAATTCTTTCAGGCCAAACGCTCCTGGTAGCTTGGAAAGTGCCATGGGGAGGAAATTAAGGGAGTCTATAAACTTCATATCGTTGACTTGCACCTTGATGCTCATGACCTTCGCACCATTCAGAATAACCTCGGGTAGAACCGCATTATCATACAAGTATCGAAGAATGAAGAAAGAATCATAGCCCTTGAAGTTGTGACATAGGACTACGGCTCCAGCATTTTCCTCCACGAACAGCCATTCAAAGAATTGCTTTTGAGTGTCTGGTCCCTGAAACACGCGCTCTCGGTTCCCGCAGCGTTGACAAGTAGTGTCTTCTCTGTCTAAGCAGTCACCGCATACCTTGTGAGCAATGCATAAATTGGGTTCATGGATCCCCGTTTCCTGCATGCACTCAAAGTCAAAGAAGATGTAAGATGTTGCTTCCTCGTTCCTTTCCTCTTCTCCCTTTTTGTTGCCCACCTCTTTGGTGTCTGTACTGCTTACCACGACAGGCTGCATGTAACAGAGATGATCTTGTGGAACATACCCTCTGCATACGGTGCAGTATTTTTCACCACTCACATGCTCTTTGGCCTTGTGATACGACCGGCTGATGAACTGACTGCAATCTTTGCACCTGTAGTACGTCTTGCAAACGGAAGCGCCTCCACTGTTTCTCTTCAAATGATTCTGAAAACAGGTTGAACTTTTGAAATGGCGATTGCAATCGCGAAAGTAGATCCACTCCTCCTCCATGCAGTTGGCTTGAAAACATAGCTTGCAAGAGTTTTGGCAGCGATGGTCTTCGGGGTGATCGTACCCCTTCAGGCACGTGACACAAAAATGGCTTCGGTTTACAAAGGCTGGCATTTTTGTAATGACGTCATAGTGCCCGTCGTGAAAATACAGGCATATCTGTTTGCCTGCTGGTGGACCTTTGAAGATGATGGAGCTTGCATGTTCTTTAGAAGCTAATAAAATCTGATATCCGGGAAGAACGCGTTGAAATTGTTTTATTTCCTCCATACCACACTTTGAAAAAGGAATCCCAGAAAGTTTGTGAAGGTCCTCGGCCAGATTCAGTTGAATTGTACATCCTTTGCGGATGGCCTCCCAGCATTCATGCCCCTCAATTTTTAGCCTTTGCTGTGACTTTGCTTTAGCACAGCACAGTTCATCCTTGTTGTTTATTTGTATTATGCATTTTTTCTCTTTGAGGAAGCGTTAGAAATTGACGTAACGTTTCTTGTTAATTTTCCCCCAAGTGGCATGGCCACATGGGTTATGTTAATATGAAGACTGCTATCCAAGGAAAATTGTTCATTACTTTGCACCACCTGCTCAATTCGGGACATAAATCGTTCTGCCGTCAACTGATCCTTGGTGATGAACGGTAACTGGATGGGGTAGTCGAGCTCGGGACACGTGACCACCATGCGCACGAGATCCTTAGAGCCTGCACCAGTCATCAATGTGTCAAACAGGCTATCCAAAACTCGATGGAGAGTCTGCAACACGGCTGTTGGGTCAGGGATATCCAGGTTGTCTTCAAACGTGACGGTGTAGTCTAACCCCTTCGTGCTAAACTTTTTCATCTCTACCTCTTTCACCTTGGACACACGGTATAGATCGGTGATGTCTGCGATGTTGTTGGCATCGGTAATTTTCTGTCGTTTGGCTGCGACTGGTTGGTTGTCTGCTGTCGCTCCAAAGCCGATTTGCTCTTCACCATGATTACTCCTCAAAATGTCGAAAGTAGTTGTCACGGCGAGCGAATACTTTGCCGCACGAGTTACACTGATGTTGGCTAGCATCGTTGTAATTGTCCCGTCTGGTGAACGTCTTATCGCATACCTTGTAAGTAAACATCTGTGAAGAAACGAGAAACGTTGAGGGTTAGGGTATGAATAATAATATACCCCAAAATACAGACTAAAACTTGCTAATGGCCCAAATCATTATGCAAAGCATCCTAAATATGCACGGATGTCTAAAGAATAAGTAAGGAAACCACATGTAGACTGATGTCTATCAGCGACATATGAATTAATATTTCAAGCGCATAGTGTCTTGGTCTCCCGTTACGATGCATATTATGATTAACACAAAATATATACAGTAGGTGGTTGCATCAGTCTCAGTACTGATGCAAAGGATACCTTTTCCACTCGAGGACTTTTTTACGACTGCCACGCTCTGTTGGTCGCGACTTCTTTCTGCTCCACAATTTTCTTGCTTTAAGGTCTGATCTGTAAATGGAAAAAACAAAGACTGCTTGATTATACAGTGTACATGTATTTGCCGTTTTACAAAACACGAGAGGAAACGTCATGTGTAATACTCGTACACTTGAGCGGGAGCTGTTCTGAGCGATGTGTCAACGTCGACGGTCAGACACAAACTGTTGCTGTGGCTACAATTTTAGAACATGTATAATTCTATTGCGGACGTCGTACTTGCATAGTTAAACATTTTGTCACGTAAATACATATGATTGGCTAAGAAAATCCATTCTGTAATGTGACGGGCTGAGAACTATGATCTCGTGATTAAGGCATGGCGTCATGTTGAACGGATTGTTCCACACGAGAAACGTGTCTGGACACGTTATGACAATGGGTCACACAGATTAAAATCCACGCGGGAAACCTGTCACGTTTATTCCCGTTTCAATAAATAGGCCTGACTCAATGTCTACCTCCGCATTAGTAATATTTAACTTTAATTAAAACCCTGCGTGGAGGGAGTGGCCTCTTTTGGCGAGGCCACTGGAGCTAATTAAGGTGTAAAATGTAAAAAAAAAAATTCGTCCAAATGCAACAACTATTTATCATATCCTACCCCTGTTCATGCTGAAAAACCTGGTTTAGTCATTTTAAAGCCAGGGCCTCCCCTAGCCAGGAAAAAAAGTAGCCAGCCTCCAGCCAACTCCCATAAGACCGTGTGTTAAGTGACCCCTTGTGTACGATCTAATGGATTATTTACAAAACGGTGCCTGGACAGTGGAATATTTCTTATCAGTGACAGCTGTCTGGAACTCTGTCTGGAGGCCTCCTAAAGTGTTATTTTGGTTGGGGGTGGTGGTGGTGTGGCTTGGCTGGCGGGCGGCGAGCCCCCCCCCCCCCAAATCGGGATAGCCTGAGAAAAAAGGCACACACGGTACTGTGATGTACTTTTGGTGGTTTTTAAGAGCTGTAGAAGCTAGGGAACAACCACTGAAGCATTTATATACCTTTAGCACGGACTCAGGGCTCTGCAACCCNCGGATGTGCCTCGACTGCTTCTCTTCAAATGATTCTGAAAACAGGTTGAACTTTTGAAATGGCGATTGCAATCGCGACAGTAGATCCACTCCTCCTCCACGCAGTTAGCTTGAAAACACAGTTTGCAGGAGTTTTGGCAGCGATGGTCTTCGGGGTGATCGAACCCTTTCAGGCACATGACACAGAAATAGCTTCGATTTACAAAGGCCGGCATTTTTGTGATGACGTCATAGTGCCCATGGTGAAAATACAGGCATATTTGTTTGTCGGCTGCTGGACCTTTGAAGATGATAGAGTTTGCATGGTCTTTAGAAGCAACCAAAATCTGATAGCCAGGAAGAGCGCTTTGAAACAACTTGATTTCCTCCAACCCACACCTGGACAGGGGTACCCCTGCTTGTCGATGTAGTTCTTCGGCCAATGTTTGCTGTAGCAGATACCCTCTTCTTATGGAATCCCATCGTTGATGTCCATCTATTTTAGCCTTGGCCGTAATTATTGCCCTCGCACAGCACAAGTCATCTTTGTTGTTTATTTGTATTATACATTTTTTCTCTTTGAGGAAGCGTTCCAGATTGACGTACCGCTTCTTTTGAATTTTTCCCCCAAGAGGCATGGCCACGTGTGTAATGTTGATATTGAGACTGCTATCTAATGAAAACTGTTCATTACTTTGGATCACCAGCTCGATTCGAGCTAAAAATCGTTCAACAGTCAACTGATCCTTGGCAATGAATGGTAACTGGATGGGGTAGTCTAGCTCGGGACACGTGACCACCATACGCACAAGATCCTTTGGTCCAGCACCATCCATCAACGTGTTAAAAAGGCTATCCAAAACACGGTGGAGCGTTTGCAACACAGCCGTTGGTTCATGGATGTCCAGATTGTCCTTGAACGTGACGGTGTAGTCTAACCCCTTCGTACTAAACTTCTTCATCTCCACTTCTTTCACCTTGGTCACCCGATATAAATCGGTAATGTCGGCGATGTTGTTGGCATCGGTAATTTTCTGCCGCTTGGCTGCGGGTGGTCCATCGTCTGCTGGTACTCCATAGCCAATTTGCGCCTCAGGATGTTGGGTGGTAAAATGCCTGAAGTAGTTGTCCCGCCGTGCAAACACTTTACCGCATACATCGCATTGGTACTGGTTGGCATTCTCGTGACGGGCTATGTGCCGGTTGTAATTACCACGCTTGAAAAAGGCTTTGCCACATACCTTGCAAGCAAACATCTGTAAAGTAACGAGAAAAGTTGTTTAGTTAAGGTTGTAGAAAATTTATCAATTCAGATTAAAACTTGCTGATGCCTCAATCGCACGCATTCGTTCTTGGGTAATCTTAGTATTCAGGCAGTAATAGCATAATGAAGTCTGTGGTCACACGTCTCTCTTCGCCACTTGTATACATTCACATAACCAATGAACGACACAGCAAATAAGACGGTTTCACCGTTTCTAAAATGTTAATAAGCACCTTTGATTTGAAAGGATACCTTTTCCATTAGAGTGAACCTTGGTGTTTATTCAGTGCCACTTTCTGTTGATTATCCCCTCTTCCGCTTCTCTCACAGTTCGCTTCCTTAAACAACGGATAAGAATTAAAGAAGCAAAATTATTTTGGCACAATGTAATATAAAGACAGTGAACGTAATATGCAATTTACAGAGTTTGTGTGCTATTGGTCTCACCGATGTGACGGCGTCGACGGTTGAAAACAAACTGACGATGTGCACGTAGATTCCTACATTAAACAATTCTATTGCGGACGTCGTACTTCGTTACCATGCACATTTTGTTTGTGAAAAGAGGAACCTGATTTTGATTGGCTAAAAAATCTGATGATGTTACGTGATTGGATAGTAACTTCAATCACATCATAACAAGGGAAAACACAACACAAAATAAGTTTCAGTTCAATGCTGCCATTTACACTCAAATTTTGTTCACCTTCTGTAAGCTATGTTGATCAGCAAATTAACGACACAAAAGCATAATGTAAATGCAGCGGTGACTTGATTACGCTACGTAAAGGATATACCTTTTCCACTAGAGTGCGTTTCTTGATGTTTGTTCAATTCCTCCTCTCGATGGCGATGCCACTACCTCTGCTGTTATTCCAGAAACTACTTGCACATGTATTATTTAGCTTTACGTGCTTCAAAAACTGATCTGCAAAATGAGAAGAAAACAATGCATGTATTTTTAGAGATAAACCAATAGCAAACGAGTATATGAAGATGCAATTATACATTACACACCTACGTTTAACTAGATTTTCATGATATATGACGACGTCGGCGGTTGGAAGTAAACTGATGTTGAGTCTGTGCTTACCGAAGTTGTATAGTTCTATTGCGGACGGTGTGA